TTTTATAGTCAATTTGGGCATTTAATAATTTTATTTAGTTTTTACCTAATATACATTCATACTAAATAGTTTATATTATAATAATAGAGATTAAATTTATTACAAATATGATGTATATACATCATCTTTATCATATTAATCTTATATAGTCATATGTATGTACGTATGTATTTGAATGTACGCATTCAGAAATTCAAATCAGATTTTATCACTTATCAATACACTACGATATACGTATCAATAAAGGTAATATTCAATATTACACATGAATATATTTTCCTGAAATATTCCAATTTTCAATGAGTAAAATATGCTACTTAAGTAATAGAATTGAGATCAACTAAAATGTAAAATAATAAAATAAATGATAACTAAAAATTAGGATTTATGATTTACAGGATTCGATGGTAAGCGTTTGTATTCGGAACAAATGTAAAATCACTGCCGCTTAGCCATTGTTTTATTGTTAAATTTTTTCATTCGATATTATTCATGTAACGCACAAAAATGTGTTGAAGAATTTATTCATTACTTATTTTGTTGTAAATTCTGGGTCTTTAACCAAAATCCTATACATAATTTGAAAGATTACAAAATTATGATTTTTGGTAATATGCAAATGTACTTATATCAGCAAGCGCATAATTCATTTAAGAACATTCTTTGTGTATATAGCCTTTTCTCATCATTGCGTGGTGTTTTCACGAGGGTTGAAGTGTGTATTTCGATGCCTTGTGAAAAGCTCAAATTAGTACTTTAAACATTTGCGCCTTCTCTGTTTATTAACATTCTCTGGTATTGCAATGAAACTTATTTCGGAAGCTTTTTATGGAGCTTTTGCTTTTGCCTTACTATCCCTCGACCTCACCTTCCCTGGTAAATATATAATGGTAATATCAGAGAACGTAACAAACGACTTCACATGTGATTAGTTCATTTTTCTGCCATTGTATAAGCCTACAAGTAGCCAAAGAATCAGCTGTTTTCCTATGTGTGTGAAACAGCCGTGATCACCTGATCGAATATGCCTTTTTGACACAGAGTTTTAAATAAAAGGTTGTAGTGTAACAATTTGCACTTAAAATGAAAATATCTGGAAAACTATACGTTTCCGGCGCCAATAGTTATATACATTCGTGATCTGGAGAATCTCCTCTATCCAACCATACCCCTCTTAACCCTGAAATCGTGGGATGCTAAACTAAAGTTTTCCCATTGCTTTTCCTCACCACCTCTGAGGTTGCAATATAGGCGCGTTACAGACCTTTTTTGGGTGTTTGTTTCCCCAGGACTAAACCGGTAAACTAAGAATTTAAATATTCAACAGACAAAGAATTTTTACTCACAATAACATAAGCATGTAAGTTAAAAAAGATAAAATTGGAAACATTTAATAATATTTCAATACAATAAATAATAATTTAAATAATACTATGTAAATTTAATCTTTAGGAATTAAAACAACCGAAAAATATTTGAATATGGAATAAAAACATTCTTAAAGTTATTAATTTTAAAACATAACACGGCAACACACTAGAGCAGATTTCTGTCATTTGAACGTTTTAGTTGTAGAATATTGGTTGGCAACCCGTACAAAGTGTGATTTTAGTAGCAGAATATTGGTTGGCAACCCGTACCAAGTGTGATTTTAGTAGTAGAATTTTCGAGGCATCCCGTACCAAGTGGGATATTTTTGCGTGTGTTTAGTGACAATCTTAGGATTGGCTACTTGTAGATTTATACAATGTTTTCTACGTCAAGTCGGAAAGTAGTGAAGAGAAGTGTTCGTAACAATTTTCATGTACTATGAATATAGTTGAAAACTTTATATCATAAAATATTGCTTATAGCAAGCAAGACTATTTTTAATAAAGCCAGTATACCTATTATGGGCTGGGGAGTGCGTCGTCTATTAACATGTTTGTTCTAAAATAATTTGCTGTTTTTTGAAAGCAACAATAATAACAACATACATATTCAGTTATACTAAATATTATATATAATAAAGACCGCGACCAATGAAATGCTTAGTGTGTCGAGTCCATTTTTAATAAGTAATTTCTTTATTTTAAAAAGACATTGTTCATCGCAGGCGCTACAGATATCATAAATGATGCATAGTTTTAGTTTTTATCTAGTATGGTTAAGGTGTGCTCCGTTGAATGGCGTCATCAGTCGTCCTTCTCTTTCGATATAGAAACAGCTGATATGAGTATTCTCCGTTGCTACAAAATATAAATAAATATAAGCTAACGGGTGTAAATAAGTTTGTTTCTAAACAGCTAGTAGCTGTTAACTATTAGGAAGAAGAAGAATGCTAAAATTGACATGTTACTCTCGTAAAGCAAGAATTAGCAAGGAAACACGAGTGCTGTTTTTACTTTCAAAATTCAAAACTATTAAAATAAACAAATCCAATGCAAATTTCACGCTCTCACCTTATGCTCTCTTCTGCTAGTTGCATGACAATGTTTGTTCACACAGTGCATAGAAAGCAGAGATGCGGCGTAATCAAATACATGCAAAACCTATTAGGCAGGTTCTGTGACAGTGCTCATACATGCAGCATAGATAAAATGATCCGAAACTCCTTTGCTTTCTGAGAGAGCTCATGAACTTTCAGTGCTGCCAAAAAAAAACCACGAGTTCATGAGCTACTGAACAAATGAGAAGCAAAACAACGAACTACCACTAAGAATCCCGCAGAAATAAATTGCGAAATCAGTGGGTTATTTGTGAGATCAGCTTTTCTAGTGACTGTGACGTGGGTTTCTAATTTTATTTAAAGAGATTTAATATAGTTTTGATTTTAAGAAAGAGGTGGTATTTTGTCGCAGAGTATTGTTTTGCTTAGCATTACCAATTATGTAAACTTTGACTTCCGAATAAATTATCGAAAGATATTTGTTTATTTAGTATATAACAACTAAGTAATGTTCATGTTCAGCTTATTTAAAACTTGTAAGTGTTTTGAAATATTAAAATATTTTGTTAATATTAGTTTAATAAGTTAATTTAGAAAATCTTTTGTGATTAAAATACACGTACATATATTTAGAAGTCATATAGGATATCTAGCTTGTTAAACAAATTTAATTATGTATATTTTCTGTAAAATGAAAACCGAAAAATACCCAAGAAGTACATTAGAAAATCCCAAAACGTATTTCTTTCACTAGTGGCACCATGTCAAATGTTATAAAAATGTGGACTATGACATCGCTCTCTCAAATCAAAGAGTTTCGGATCAATTTATCCATGAGTTAACCGTTCGGAAACAAATCTAATATTGTGTGAAATCCGGTACAAATTAAATTTATATTCTACATCATATATTTAGAAAATTGAGAGCATTGTAAACAAATTCAATTCTGTTTTAATTCGGTGGAAATTCTTTCGTTTGCTTATTTACTTGAGAATTTGCATTTTCTTCGACATTATATGCAATGTCGCATATGTATGTTGTTTTTTATTGTGTTATGTTTCGTGCTCGACGGTTCCGTTTATTTTTCATTGTTTTAATTTATTATTTTCGATTTCCTAAACTGCTGTGCCGCGATGATTACCATTTTTCCGGCATCATATATTTTCAATTAAATATGGAGTAAGTAATCAATACTATTAACTTAAGAGATAAAATATAATAGATAGCCTATATTTGGAAATAAATACTGATATTCCCAAATTTACAATACTATTAGTGCAATATTTATTTGGTATAAATAGACTAATTCGAATCATTACAATTCCATTAAATATAAAATTATGAATTTTATAGCGAAAGCGCACATACTGATTTAATCTGCATTGACATACACAAGATACGAATGACAATAAAAATAAATAAATGTTAAAAATTTCTTCGAAAGAAAATATTCCCATAGCAAATATTATATTATATTAATACTATCAATTCAATTTCGCTCTTTTATCGCGTCAAATAATCGATAAGATAAAATAATTACGAATACTACTTTTTAAAGTAATTATAAAATGCTAATGTAATGCTTAAAAATTGTTTGTTACACTTTTGTTATTGAAAACCGAACACTAGATACTCCTTCAATTCATTTTATATAAAGATGTCTCAATAATATATTATTCGTAAATATTAAACCAATTGTTACACTGGTTAACAAAATGTACTTCTTTTGTCACATGAATACTCATTATTTTTATTTTGAATGTACTAAAGAATATTCTCTCTCTTTTATTTCGAAATTCCATAATTTCATAGATCTTATCAGTTTTGCATGAATTCATAAAAATTCGCAAAATGATATATACGTATAAGAATATAAGCCAAAAGGCTAACATGCAGCTGTAATATCAAACCAAGTCTCTGAGAATAATTTTCATTGAATTCTCAGCTCTGTTCATTCTCCACTGTTAAAATTTCTCCTTCCGAGCCAGATTTGGTGAAATTCACTAATAAAATCTTGTTAGGTTTTGACAATTCACACGCTGGTCCGCAATTGAACCTTCTCTATGATATACGTTCTCTGGCATAAGGCTCATTTCCGTTACGGAATTCGGTCCCCGAGCTGCCTGCGATAGAAGCTGTGCAATAGCTTAATAATGATAATAAGTAAATATATAAAAGTACTATATGCAGTGTACTTAGAATATATAGAAGTAATAAAGGATTCCATATAAATGGCAATTATATATAAATTTTATAATAAAATGTCATATAGAAGCTGCTTGCTGGCAATATACAAATACGAGGGGAATGGTAGGATCAATTGTAAAATTGAAATTTCTTAAATATTACTGAAGACACTCAAATTCAATTTCATTCATTTTTATTCAAACTTCATTTTCGTGCATTTGTGGTGGGAATTCCATATGAAAACCAAATTTGGTTAACTAGGCGTTAAATTAAGCATTCGCACAAGCGACAGAAAAATGGCAGACGCACTATCATCGAGCAATAATATTCAAGCGAACTCGCGTTATATTTTCTAAGTATTTCATATTACATCGACAACAAATTCATTCATAAGGAATGTGCATCAGCTTTAAAGCAATTGAATTTGAATGGTTTCAGTAGAACGAGAAAAATTTCAATTTTACAATTTGTATCAATGAAAATCCTACCATTCCCCTCGTTTGTATGTTGCCCACAAGCTGCTGCCTCACTACGATGCTAAAAATCAGAAATTGAAGAATTTGTCTGATGTTCCCTTTATAAAGGAGAATTGGCAACATGAGTAATTAGCGAGTTAAAATAATATTTTAATTTATTTCATATTATGCACTATAAGCAGAGAACGTAAATGAATAGAGAAGGAGCAAATGTTAACTGAAAACTTTTTGAGTACTAATTTGTAGTTCCAGATGAGGGAACATCGAAAAATATAACTTCGAAAAAGAAAAATACACCACACAATATGCGAAATGCTGTAAATAGACACAACGAATATTCCTATATGAAAAAACGTTGCGCATACCTATTTAGATTTATGTTTTCAATTTCTATGATATGACAAATTTATAATTATGAAAAGCCTTCTGAATTAAAAATCTGTATTACCGGTAAAAACCCCAGATTTCATAATAAAATAAACATTTAGTAGGCTATTTTTCCAACTTATGTATGTGCGTTATGTGAGCAATTGCTTATTAAACAAAAGATAACAATAAAACGGTGGCTAAGCGGCCACATTTCCACTTTTGAGGTGGCTGAGGTCGTAAGCGGGAAGGGGTTAAGCACAATCCGAATACGAACCTATACGTTCGAATCCTAAAACTCATGAAACTGAAATTTTATTTAATTTTTATTTTATTAATTGGAATCTAAGCATATCATAATTCAATTACTTTAATAGCATATTTAACTTCCTGAGAAAATTAAAATATTTCAGGAAAATATGTTCATATGTTTGGGTTTATTGCATATTCCTTTATTTATGCGTATTTACACAAATGTGATAATCACACATACATTCATGAGTACACGTACGCTGATGCTTGCTTCTTCTTGCCCCGCACAAGCAATGACTTTTGTCCACACTTTTTGCTTTTTGCGAGTTGAACGATCGCAGGCAAGGAGGGATTGGGGCGCACTGCCACATAATTATTTCAGATATATATTTTATTTATCGAATTTAGTTTAAAAACGCTTATAGGTATGAATATATGTGTATTTATATATATATATATAATATATATTATATTACGAAAATAATTCATAAATGCATCAGTATTTTTCAATACAAAATAAGCAACATAATAATATACTAAGAGTCTTCAGTTAGAACGCCTCTGTGTATAGTGGCAAGCCAACGAAATAACGGCGAGTTCGCGCAGACATTGTGTTGTTGAAAGTAACCAAATGACGATTTTGTCGACAAACATACATATATACATATGAGCTCGCATACATATTGACGCCGAATTTTGCGCATCGTGGCGGAGTTGACAAAATTTGTTTCAATCAACAATTTTACGACAATGTCGATCGGCTATGTTGTCTCGTTTGTCCTTTTTGCAGGGCTTTGCTGTTGAAAATTGACTTATGCTCTTTTGAAATATTGCGATTACCGATTGGGCTGCATTTTCATAGCGTCGTATTTAGATAAAATGAGCTAAATCGACAAACTATGAAATAATGATAATAAGTAAACATATAAAAGTACTATATGGACTGTGCTTAGAATATATAGAAGTAGTTAATGATTTCATATGAATGGCAATTTAATATAAATTTTGTAATTTAATGCCATATGTATACTTATAGTGCATAATATGCAAAAATAAAAATATTATTTAAACTCGCTAAGAGGTCATGTTGCCAATTCTCCTTTTTGAAGTGAACATCAGACAAATTCTTCAATTTCTGATTTTTAGCAAATGTTGTGAGGAAGCAGCTTGTGGGCAACATACAAACGCGAGGGGGATGGTAGGATTTTCAGTGATACAAATTGTAAAATTGAAATTTTGCTGATTCTTCAATTTTACTGAAGACATTCAAATTCAATTTCATTCATATCGCGCATTTGCGATAGGAATTCTATATGAAAACCAAATGTGGTTTTTTTTGCGCACTTTGCTTTGAAGCAGACGCACGTTCCTTATGAATGAATTTGTTGTCGTTGTAATATAAAATACTTAGAAAATATGCCGCGAGTTCGCTTGAATATTATTGGCCGATGATGGTGCGTCTACGTTTTTTTTGTCACTTGCGCGAGTGTTAGATTTTTTGCGAAAGACATATTGATGGACATACATATGTACATATGTGTACATATATGCAAATATATTTGGACATGCGAATGAAGGATGGCAATTTCAAGAATATTCACATATAGACATATAAACATTAAAGCAAGTAAACAACAATAGCTGTTTGAGTTCACAGATTAGACAAATATGCTCTAATATCATCTGTGGTGCTGCTTGTATAGCACACTTCTTTATTGCAATGAAATGTTTTGCCTAAGTTCAAATCCTATCATATTTTTATATATTATACTATTTTTTATTTTTATAACTCTTTTTTATTAAATGATATTTGAATTCTATTTTAGTATTATTTCCCTCACTATTTATATTTTCTTGTCGGAGGTCAATTACTTTCGTTTTTATTATTTCAATTTTTGTTTATGCGCATACCAATGAACATCTGTGCA